GTCTCTCTCTCGTCTCTCGTCTCTCTCTCTCTCTCTCTCTCTCTCTCTCTCTGTCTCTGTCTCCTTTTGCCTCTCTGTTGGTCTGTCTATCTGTCTGAATGTCTCTCTCTCTCTATCTGGCTCTCTCTAACCCCCTCTCACGCTCTGCCCGCACGTACCGCGCTCTTCGCTCATTCTTTCTCCCACGCTGCTGCATGCACCTCCTTCCGCCTGCGCATGCGCCCCCCCCCCCAATCCACACATCCGCCACTCACGCTGACGCCTCCTTAAACATTTTCTCTCTGAAAAATGCGAAAATGGACACGGAAAAGAAGCGTCCCCGCGTCCCCGCGACTCCACGCGGCGGGGCGGGGGGCGGGGGGGGAGGGCGGGTGGAGGCGGGGGGCGGGGGAAGACAATGGCGTTCGCGCCGTCGCTACTTCGCCAATTTACACCCGAGTGGGCGTGGCCGGCAGCGCGGTCCGACAATGCGCCCACCACACACCTGCGTAACCCCAGCACATTTCCTTGCCCATTTGCACAATCCACAATGTCGACATTTCGTCGTTGCCGTGGCAACCGAATTAAACCAACAAAAACGCCCGAAAACCGGCCTTTCTTCGCGGGCGCGCGCGCGCGGCGCGTCCCTGCGGAAACTATGCGGAAAGCGACGAGAGACGCTCTCGTCGCGGTCGCCGACGCGGACAAAGACGCGCGGCAGTTTCACGGGGGTTGAGACGGCGTATCCCCCGCCGCCTTTCAGCGCTTGTGGGAAAACGCCAAAGCACACTTTTCCAGCAAAAACGACAAAACGCGAACCGTCCATAGTTCACCGCCGCCGCCGCCGCCGCTGCCCGCATAAAGGCCCGCTAAGCTGGGGTAGGGGCCCTGGGAGACGCCGCTACCCTGCGACGCCGCGCCGCCTCCCCGCGCCGCGCGACGAGCCGCCGCGAGAGGTCGCCGCGTCCAGGTAGCGCTGCGCGGCTGCCGCGGGTACCTGGTGTGAAAATGCGGGATTTCGGCTACGATTAGCGGCAATGGGCGATTAGCTGTAGGGGGAGCCCCCGGCAGCGTGCTGGCACCGTGCCAACACTTTCCTCTCCGCCCCGTCCTTCCCCCCGGCTAGCGTACGGAAGGGAGAGTCGTCGCCGCCTGGCCGGTCACTGACCGCTCCTCCCAAGATACTGTCCTTCTGCTGCTGCTGCTGCTGCTGTTGACCGCTACATAGATTGCCCTGCTGCTGCTGCTGACAATGCTACTATATCACAACCACTACTGCTGCTGCTGTTGCTGCTACTACTACGCATTGCTTACTACTACTACGCGTACTACTAGTAACTACAGCGCGGCGGCATACATAGCTGCACACCTACGACAAAGCGAAACTGACACATCTATTAAATAGCTGACGTTCCACCCCCCACCCCACCTCACCCCACCCCAACCCCCACATAACCCTCTCCTCCTCCTCCTCAAGACCCGGCGGCTCACATCTGTTTTTAGTTGCGCGCACGTTCGTAGGCGGGCCGCATTCACTTCATTCAAGATTTCAAACGTAACACCTTTTGTTCGGGCGGAGGGCAAAAACTGCTGCCTTCCGCGCGCGCGCGCGGGGCGGCGGGAGAATGGAGCGGCGGCGGCGGCAAGGCCGTGGATCGCGTGGGGATCAGTGGTCCCGTGCGTGCGCTCATCGACTTCGGCGGCACGGCTAATCTCCGCTACTACAAACACGGAGGCCTGCATGCTACGGCTCATGCCATTCCCCCACACGCACGCGCGCGTGTGTGTGCGTTCCTCCTCTCTCTCTCTCTCTCTTTCTTTTTTTTTCTCTCTCTCTGTCTTGCTCCCCCCCTCTCTCCCCATTCATTCACAACTCCCCTCCACACATACGCACGCACGCACACACACACACACACACACACACACACACACGCACTTCGCACGCCCACAAACACACGCACACACACACTTCGCACGCCCACAAACACACGCACGCACGCGCGCACACACCGCACGTGCGTACACTTTAGACAAGCACGTATGACAGCATTAGAGTCAAACCGAACTGCTCAAACCGAGGCCGATCAAGCCGAGAGCATTCACTCAGCGTGTTTCACACCGTTGCTTGAAGTGGACGGACGGGCACGGGCACGGGCACGGCAGAGAACGCACACGAGCACGCGCGCGGCCAGTCTATAAAACGATTCCATTTAAAGCCAGCATGCATGAGCTGCGCTTACGATATATATCTTGATATTATCAGGAGTTAATAAAAGACAAATTGTCTTTTATTAACTCCTGATATTATATATAGATATATATATTATATATGTAAATATTAGTCGCTTATATCAAAACCCGCCCTACGGTATCAAGTTTTGGCCGTATATCGCACACAACACGAATCGCGTGCATATTTTTGTTAGTCTTCAAAATAGAAGGCAAGCCAACGTATATATAGAGAGAATGTGTGTGTGCCTGTGTGTGTATGTGTGCGTGCGTGCATGCGTGTGTGTGTGTGTGTGTGTGATCTCTCTCTCACTCTCTCTTTCCCTCTCGCTCTTTCTCTCGCTTCCGTTCTCTCGCTTCCGTTCTCTACATCTTACATGGTAACTGTGGATTCTCCATATAATAACTAATGTGTAACTCTCTAACTAGTCTTACTGTCTGTTCGAGTGTGTCTATTTATACGCTTCTTAAAACAGCCCGGACGCCCTACAATCCGAACCAGTTTCTCATCCGCTGCTTCTACTATTAGTGACAGATTAACGCGCAATCGTCTGTAATCATTAGGGTGCGCGGCGGGGCTACGTATATATACGAGCACGACGTCCCATGTCATCAGTCATCACAATAACAACAATAACTTGCCAGGGTTAGAAGACAATTAGTCGCACAGCCCCGGCGGCTAGAAGCGCCACCGATCAATTAGAACGCAATGTACAATACAACACTCTCTCCGGTCCTCTCCCTGGTTGATTACGTTGATTGGCTGGCGTGGCGGACGGCAGCGTACTTCATGGCCAATGAAGACGCAGCGAGGGCTGAAGCAGCTGTGACGTAAGCGGCTAGCATTCACCATGACGACAAGTAGGGGGTTGTGACAGAGAGTGAGGATGGGTAAGAATAGCGAGAGAGAGAGAGAGAGAGAGGAGATGTACGCCAAATATTATTTCTCACTTTCTCTTCATCCTTATTCTTACAAGGAATGTGCATGTGTGTTTGCACGTGCCTGTGTGCGTGTGTGTAAATGTACGCATGCGTAAGCGTGATCATGTCTTTCCGGCTACGTACATCTGCACAACAGAAGTTAAATACGAGCACATCCCTCAGAGTGGTGCCGTAACACGGGTGTGTGTGTGTTGGGGGGAAGGGGCACTCGCGGGTACACTGGCCCTACTACGCTATTTGTACATCACTACCCCGTGTGTTCAACTTTTTACTTTTTTTCCTGCTTTGTTTGCTTAGCCATTCGTGTGTGGACGGCTGCTCGAATAAACCCCTCACTTATACATAGTTCACTCACTATACTTCCTGATATTTGCCAGCAGCGGGAGCCTAGTAGCTGAAGATGTGTGAAAGATTACCAGCTGGAAAAAAAAATCGGGCGTAAAATTCTTTTTGCTTGATTGACAATGTTTGGATGTACTAATCCCGAAAGAGGTAAATGCTTGATGAAGTGACGATGATGATGATGGTGGTGGTGATGATGGTGGAGATGGTGGTGGCGGCGGCGGTGGTGTTGGTGCTGCTGGTGGTGATGCTGCTGCTGTTATTAACGACCACAGTCATTCTGCTCTAGTAATAACGGTGACGACGACGACAATGATAATTACGACGACAATGGCGACGACTGCCCCGTTACAACAAAGTCAGTTACTACAAAGATAAACATCAAACGCGCTACGCAATCACGCATCCAATCCTCCACCAGAGTATAAAACCCCGGTGGATGAAAGCCGGGGGGGAAACTGGCAGTTCGGATTTTATTTCGAAATCACGAAGAGCAAACGTTCTGCCAGTTTTCCGCCAAAAAAAAAACAGACAAGCGCGTGGCAGAGAGAACAACGAACGTACGCTCGGTTGGTCGTGTCGGTTCATTTTGTTTATAGGTTAGTATTTTGCTGTTTGGTAGTACGGAATCGGTAGTAGGACTGCCAAGGACAGGCATCGCTGGCCCAGAATATACAGACACCGGAGAGAGATGGCCTGAATATGAATCTAAAGTAGAGATCTATGCTCTGAGCTCGCGTAGCCTTGCGTTAGGCCGGGCATGGGTTGCTGTTGTTGTGTTTGTGTGCGTGCGTGCGTGCGTGCGTGTGTGCGTGCGTACGAGCGTGTGCGCGTGCGTACGTACGTCAGTGCTTTCGCGCGTGCACGCGCACAGGAAAGAGTGGGAGCAGAGGGAGGAAATGTGGGGGCATGAACTGAGAGAGACGATAGAAAGGGACGAGAGGATGGCGGGGAGGGGGAAATCGAGAGAAATAACCGGACTGAAGTCCAGGTTAGGACCGCCAGGTCCCAGTCGTTCAACAGAATGCGATACAATTGCAGTAACTCTATCGTGCGGCCTCCTGCACGTGCAGTGAGAGCGTTTACTGTGTGATGGTTCTATGCTTCAGCGTGAACCACTCTAACAGAGCAGGCGGTTTTTAATGATCACACATCAAAGGAAACCTGTCGCCTTCAAATTTTCACTCGCTAATTCCTCCTTCTCCCCTCCCTCCCCTCTACATATACACATATTATACCGATATATATATATATATATAGCATTCTTACCGTTCCCTGCAGTTGCAATGTCAGCCCAACTGCTGCTGCTGCTGCTGCTGATCGTTGCAATGTCAGCCCAACTGCTGCTGCTGCTGCTGCTGCTATAAGGTCTGCCTTGCTGCTGCTGACAGTTTCAAGGTCTGTCCGGCTCCGTAATCTACGTAAAAATCTGTGTGCGCTTCGTCGGCGAGATGACAAAGAATGAAGAAAGATGAGTCGAAGATTCCAAAAAAGTATGCCCGGGATTCATATGAGGCTGAGCAGAGTGGAATGAAAGGATAAGCAATGGTTGATAATGAATCCCACCCCTCACGCCTCCGCAGCGAGCGACGTCACTCACCCATTTTCTCGGTCGACCTCGCCCTCTCTTTGGTGCCGCTGTCGGTGCCTGCAATGGAAAAAAACAGAATAACATGAGTGGATGATGGGGAATCTTTAACATGGACAAGCGAGAACTTACAAACCTTAGCCAGACTAACCCTAACCGCAACCCTAATGCTAACCCTAACCCTAACACTAACCCTAAGCCTAAGCCTAAGCCTTACCCTAATTTTGACCCTGATCCTAACCATAACCCTTACCCTAACCTTAACCCTAGCCCTAACCCTGATGCTAACCCTAACCCTAACCCTAACCCTAACCCTAACCATAACCATAACCGTAACCCTACCCTTTATCCTAACCCTAACCTTATAAGCCCAACATGATAAACAGGCCGATTGTCATACATACATCTTGGCACTTTTTAATATGGATCGATCACGCATCCCTAAGTTGGTGTTACTATGGGCCCTAGCAAGTGTAGCAGTGGAAGAGCCAAGACTACCTTGCACGCGTCCACATTAAAACTACCTCCCACACCGAACTAGCATATCTGGGCTATTCTTGAGGACACGCAGCCCACATAACATCGCCCCGAGACAGATCCCAGATCCGTTACGGAGGCCTTGTTATGGAGGTCTTACATGCCTGTCGAGTCGTAGAGGATTGACTCTTTAACTATCCGTCATCAACAACCTCGTCAGCATACATTCAAAAACACGATCCGATTCTCCAGACCCCTCCATTCGATAACCCATCGCTCGGTGACATTAGTTACTGAAGCCAAGTCGTGATCGACTTTAGGGGATAGATGTGTGCAGTACTTGTGCCCTAGCTGTGTACGGTTAACACGCAACCTGCTTGCCCATGGCAGATTTTGTACACCAAAAAACCTTGCAACTGGGGGGTGGTGGGTGTATGTATATATATATGTATAAGTATATGTTTCCTGTAGTATATACGCGCGCGACCTGCTTAACCGTGGTAGAAACTACGATTCTTTCCAAAAAAAACTCGCGCTTGCCATGTGATTCGCGTTACGAACGGGTTCTTTTCTGGAACGCATCCCTTTCCGTAACGCGGGCGATTACTGAATCCAACAATCGTTACATGCGCGTTTTCATTCAATACAAATACAAACACAGAGCGCTCGCGCACGCACTCGTTCTTGCTGCAACAAGAGGGATGCACCGAATGAGTGGATGAGGGTGTGTTTTAGAGAATGGGACCAATAGCCGAAGACACACGACGTCTCATTCAACCCCGCGTTAGATTTTACACGGTTTAGTCTGGGGTTTGGCTCACAAACTTAGCAGCAGCAGCAGCAGTACCATCACCATCTGGCAGCACAACCACACAACACGCTCACACCATCTTGCCGCCGCCACACCACCAACCCGAGCTAGGCGCAAGCAGCAGCACCACAACAACGCACTCACCAGCAGCAGCAAGCATGCATCACCAACCACAACCACAACACCACACCACCACCACGAACACCAACACCAGCACGACGCACCCCGCCGCACCCCACGAACCAGCACGACGACACGAGCAGCAGCAGGCAAGCACCACCACCACCGCCCCAACAACCACCCAGCAGCCGCAGCAGCACCACAACCACCACCACTACACCACCACCACGGCAGCACGACACCACACCACCACCACCACCACCACTCCACCCAATCAGCATCACTACACCAACACAGTTAGGCCACCAACACACCAGCACGCAAACCACTGCACCACCACACCACCAAATGAAGCATCACCACCACCACTAACAACACCACCAGCAAGCCCCCCAACACACAACTACCATGCCCACACACCGACGCACCACGACCACCACCACCACCGGACAATCAGAAACACCACCACCTACCATCACCACCACAATCAGATCACACCACACTACCACAACCACACAGTAGTGCCCACGCAACACAACCACCACCACTACACACAATCAGCAGCCATCACACCACTACCACAACCACCACCAGCAGCCCTTCAGCCAACTACCACCACCCCAGCCGCAGCAGCAGCAGCAGCAGCAGAAAAAGCTACGCGCTGGCTGACGACGCGGGTGTGTGCCGCCTGCCTGCGTGTGTGGCGGCGCGCCGAGTGCGTCCGACAACCGGAAATCGCGAACCCCGATCGCATTCACGCTTTGGCTCAGCGCTGCAGCCCTGTTGTTAACAATATGTCTTTTAAACTCCTTAAACGCAGCGCACCGCACCGCGGCCCCGCGCACTGCCCCCTCCCCCTCCGCTCCCCACTCTCTCGCTCGCTCGCCGCGGCTTCAATGCGGCTGAACTGAATGAACAAAAAACGCAGACGCGGGCCAACCCCTCCCAGAAGGCCGGCACACGCCTCGGGAGGAGGGGTGCCGCAAGATGCGATAGCGAGTAGGCGGCGCCAGCCCCACCCCCAAGCCCCGCACCCCACGCACCACCCCACTCCCGACCCAGAAAAAAACATTTCTTCTCATTATAACACTTAATTTTTTTCGCGTGGATTTGCATACGGGCAGCCGTCGGTCGCGCCCCCACCGCCCACCCACTCCTCACTCCCCGGACAATATATTCTTCCCAATTATGAACACTTCGAGTGATTTGATGACCGGCCGTCGGTCCGCGCGTCACGCCCCCCTGACCCCACCCCACCCACTCCTCACTCCCGACAAATAAATTCTTCCCAATTATGACCACTTCGCGTTGATTTGCATACGACCGTCGGTCCGCACCCTCCCCGCTATCGGGTGAGACACGCCCACCTCTCTATCGTCACAGCTCCCGACTCCACCCACGCTCTCCGCCGCCGCCCCCGCCGACCGACTCGACCGGGATTTCTTGGCTAAATTAATTCGCCGCTTGCGTAAAGTCGTATCGCTGCGTAATTAAGAAATTAAGTTGCTAATTTTTGTCGAAGTCTCCGCGTCGGGCTCGTCGTCGGTTTCGGCGTTCATCTCAAGAGTCGACGGAAGGAGCCGACGGAAGAGTCCGACAAGAAGACGAAAGCAAGCGGAAGAGTCGACGGAAGAGAGCCTTTCGTCGGCCAATTGTGAGGCAACTGCATCCGGGCATCTCTGACGCGTTCCGCCCTGACGTCATCGCCGTCGTCGTTATGTCTTACGGGGTACTGCCGCGTTGCAGGAAATTATATAGTCGAAAAGACAAAGACGCAGGAAGAGGAGGAAGGGGATGGGGGGAGAGATTGGGGTCTAGAAAAAGAGAGAGCGAGCGAGCTAGTGAGAGTGAGAGAGAGAGAACGAGAGCAAGAGGCGGAGAGGGAGAGAGAAAGAGAGAGAGAGAGAGAGAGAGAGAGAGAGAGAGAGAGCAGAGAGCGTCCAGAAGAAACAGAGGCGGCAGGAAGGTAAGGAAGGAGGAACGTGAGGGAGGGAATTAGCCAAAACGAAAGGCAAGAAAGGGGGAGAAATACTTAGGGAGAGACCCTACACGATCAGGAACACGTCTTGATGATGGTAACTGCACAAGGAATCCCAGAAGAAAGCACAAGGGGTTCACTGGAACACGCGAATCATCGTAACAATCATGTAACAATCATGTAACAATCATGTAACAATCATGTAAGAATCATGAAGCATCATGTAACAAATCATGTAACAATGCATCGTAACGATCATGCTAACAATCATGTAACGGCCTACTGTCACGAATTGTGTTTCTGAGATGCCAGTTGAGGTAAGCTTAATTATGAGATGTGAGATAGCACACAAAAGCACTGGCATCGCTCAGAGGGCCGATGTGTCAGTGCGTGAGGGGGTCTACCGATTCACTGGCAAATCACCCAAAGCCACAAATCCACGCCCCAATCACCAAATCCACCAAAATCCCACGACCCGAACACCAAATCCACCCCAAGATCCTACCAAATCACCCCCAAATCACGCAAATCCACTAAAAATTTCTCGGAACTCTACTCAAATGTTAACCAAATGATAGCAAATCCACTGAAATTCACCAAATACCTCTGACACTTGCCACAATTTACGTGAATTCAAGTGATGTTGTTAGGGTTTAGGCGTTAGGGTTAGGGTTAGGTTAGGGTTAAACTGAATTCATGAATTCGTGATTTCAGTGATTTGCCATCATTTTGGTAAATGAATAGGCGTTCCGAGTAAATTTCAAGTGGATTTGGGGGTGGATTGGGATTTGGGGGTGGATTGGTGAGATTCTGGGGGTGGATTTGGTGGAT